GGACCGGGCTAGGCGGCATCTCGGCAAAGCCTAGCCCGATTGTCGAAGGGGGCCTTCGTTTCCCTCTTAACCCGCTGATTACCGAGTTCTTACGCCGAACCGGGCTAGCGCCAACCCAAGTGTCCACCAACACATACAGGATAATAAATGGCGTGCATGAGTTAAATAACCGGTTAGGCATAAGCCTAGGTTTAGCCGAGATCCTACGCCAATACACACTTGGTCACACCGGCGACGGTCTCGCCTATTACCTGAAGATTCGATAGAGTACAAACACTTCCCACAGACGGCGCCAATTGTACGGGGAGCAAATATTCCGGCAAGCCCGTACTCCTTTCTTCCGAGCTCCGTCGATGTCCGATCACCTGCGAGCAAGTAATGGTGAGCTACCCGGCGGTGTGTGGCCGGAAAAACCCTCCGACGATCAAGTTAGCACACACCTTAGGATGGATAGAGAGAAGGGAGAGAGTGTTTGAGTGTAAGAATTCCTTACAGAGGTTTTCGTGTGTCCCGTATGGGGGGCGCAGACATGCGTATATACCCTCTGCGCCCCATATCCACTCCCAGTCAGCTCCTGACACGTGGCTCCGCTATCCCATCTGTCAGCATAAACCATGACAATCATCACCTAATCTCAACTGCCTGTCATCACAGCTGGAGCTCGGCAGCCAAGCTGCCCTATGCGTTGCTGCGCCGTGCCGTGCTTCATACCCAAGCACTTCCCTGGCAAAGTCCAAGGGGGGACCGGGCTAGGCGGCATCTCGGCAAAGCCTAGCCCGAAGCACCCCATGGTCAGCTTTCATGCCGGTCACTCGGCTTGTCTGGCTTCGGCTAACCTCGGACCGAGCATCCTGGTCCGACCGAGCACTGCCTTACTGAGCTGCTTCTTTACGGTCTGGGGCGGGACGCACTCGGCCCAAGTTCTGCCCGGCCCAAGTTCTGGCAGCCCTTCTCTGGGCGAACAGTCGATCATCTCGGCCCAATGCACTGCTGGGCACTCAACCTGCTCGGTCGCTACCTCGGCCCAACTCCAGATCATAAATCACCCTCTCACAAATAAAAACTTTAAAACTGCACCAAGAACAATTTTAGCACTTCCATTATACTGACGGATACTCTCAGGTGAATTATATAAGGGAAGAAAAATGAAGCATTTGCTAGAACAGAAGAAACTTTACCAGAATACGGCACAAGGTACATTGCTGTAGTCAGGTTTGGTAGGCTGCCCACCAAAAACAGTTTTCTGCAGGCAAAGCAAAGAATTGAATGATGAATTAATAACAAAAAAAAATGAGAATTCAATGATGATAACTAATCAGGGTACAGATTGAGCACATACTGAAAAGCAGGTGCCTTCCATTAAGGCCACGGGAGTAAGATTCAATCTATTTGTGACATCACCAACAGCCCATATGCTAGGAACGTTTGTGCGAGAGAACTCATCCACCTGAAAGACAGGATGAAAGGGGTGGGGAACCTTAACTTCTCATGGTACAAACATTTTTTTCACAAGCAAAACAATTTTGAATCACCAACATCAAATATACCACGAAATAATAGATTGAGGTGAAAACATTGTTAACCAAACAAGGGAGAACTAGTAGTGAGCAAATGCTGTGAAAAAACCCCAAAATAAACTCAACCATCTCTGATACACGTAGCACTTAAAAACTAACCAAAAAAAAACCCTCATAAATACAATATCACTCTTGTTCATAATTTTTTGAACACTGTCATACACATATCATCACATCAAAGAACAACAAATGCAAGAAAAGACCAAGAAAAATATATTAACCTTTACGGCTCCCATCTCGTCAAGCTCAACACCTACAGCTTCCAAATTCAACCTCTTTGTGTTAGGAAGCCGACCTATAATCAATGAAAATACTTTATTATCCCAAAGATTACAATAAAAACCTCAACAACTAAAATGCTTGCTCACTAAATTTATAGAATGTTAGTACTAATGTACACACACACCTGTATGGAAGAAACCAAACATGATGTGCGGTTAAAAACTAAGATAATAAAAATATCAGTATGCTGTTTTCTAGGAGATGAATATAACATAATATTAATAAACCAACTGCAAATAAATTCTAGTCAGACTCCATAAAGAAAATTCGACCACAGGTACCAAGCAATTCATACAAACTGTTGAAATTTCCTGCTCAATCAAAGGCAATGACTGCAAAAAAAAAAAAAAAAAACAGATTCCAGAAGCTATGAGCTAACATTAGGGGTCAACATAAAATTTCCATCATTCTGCCTTGGTAATGAATGAATTGACTAGACATTTTCAAGATGTGGTTCCATGTGTGTGTTATTCATCACTGAGTCTAATTGATGAAACTAAAGTACAGAAAAAAACTAACGTAGAAGATCAAAGAGAAACTTTAGAATCAAATCAGATTAAGTGAGGCTCAATGAACATATATGGAATGTAATACCTACTTAAAGTTGAATATAAAAAAACAACGCCCAATTAGTACACATTAATGTGTGTTTGGAAGGGGAAAGATTGTGTATACATCTAACCTTTGACATAATGCACAAAATGGTGGCCCCAAGACTTGAACTCATAACCTTAAGGTTATTAGGCTAAGTCTTAACCATTGAACCAATGATTAAGAAAAACCAAAAACTAAAATGAAAATGCAATGAAGATCAACGCACAAGACATATGTTAAAGAGTTGATAGTTTCATTGAGGGCCTCTGTTCTATTTACATGCATATAGAAATAATGAACTTACGTACTATTCATTTACATTTTAAGCTTGCATGATGGATGAAAGGTGCATTGATTGCTTTTTATTTGAATATTCCGTCAAATTGGTTTTTATATCAGATTATGGTTGTGCTGGCAGCTGGTGGCACACATTTCTTTTCTTTTTCTAATGCAATAACCTTAGACTATTTATAAAACCAACCACATTGTTACACATAAAATCATAATTAGAGGTTGTGTATGCATTCATGATTTTCTATTTTGAGGTCAAATTGTGAGAAGATATCCAGTCCTGGGGCTCAATAAATTTCCCATCAGAAGCCCACAGTTAGTTATAATTCCTTACAGAGCCGAATAACCCTTGAGCACACATCTTCTGTTAAAGAGTTGATAGTTTCATTGAGGGCCTGTTTGGTAATCTTCGTTTTTGGACTGGTCCAGTCCAAAACCAATTATGTTTGATTGGTTGACTTACAGAGCCGAATAACCCTTGAGCACACATCTTCTTTTATACTCAGATCCATCCATAGAACTTATTTAACATTAATGTTCCATTTTTTTATATATCAACCAATCAAACATAATTGGTTTTGGACTGGACCAGTCCATGAAAAAATATATGTATTATTGATTGATATGTTTATTGTGTGTATTACAATTACAAGGATTCCTATTATATAGGAGTGTGTTTGGGAGTAGGTGGAGTAGGTGAAGTGGAGGTGGTAGTGGTGTAGTGGGTTAGGTTTAGTGGAGTAGGTGAGGTGGTAGTGGTGGTAGGTGAAGTGAATTTATGTGTAACAATGTGGTTGGTTTTATAAATAGTCTAAGGTTATTGCATTAGAAAAAGAAAAGAAATGTGTGCCACCAGCTGCCAGCACAACCATAATCTGATATAAAAACCAATTTGACGGAATATTCAAATAAAAAGCAATCAATGCACCTTTCATCCATCATGCAAGCTTGTTTTGGACTGGACCAGTCCAAAAACGAAGATTACCAAACAGGCCCTCAATGAAACTATCAACTCTTTAACAGAAGATGTGTGCTCAAGGGTTATTCGGCTCTGTAAGGAATTATAACTAACTGTGGGCTTCTGATGGGAAATTTATTGAGCCCCAGGACTGGATATCTTCTCACAATTTGACCTCAAAATAGAGAATCATGAATGCATACACAACCTCTAATTATGATTTTATGTGTAACAATGTGGTTGGTTTTATAAATAGTCTAAGGTTATTGCATTAGAAAAAGAAAAGAAATGTGTGCCACCAGCTGCCAGCACAACCATACTCTGATATAAAAACCAATTTGACAGAATATTCAAATAAAAAGCAATCAATGCACCTTTCATCCATCATGCAAGCTTAAAATGTAAATGAATAGTACGTAAGTTCATTATTTCTATATGCATGTAAATAGAATAGAGTTCAGAATTACCAGTTGCAAAGAGTACAACATCAGCCATTATTTCTTCGCCATGGTCTGTGAGAACTTTTATCCCCTCTTCTGTTTTAACCAACTAAATAACCAAAGTTATCATTAGAACTAGGTTGTAAATCAAACACAATATAAGAGAAAACATACACACACACACAAAAATAAATAAATAAATAAATAAAAAATAAGAGGGAAAACCAGAAAGAAATGTCATGGGATATCAATAATCACCAACTTGAGAATAAAACAATCCTAACATAGATTATAATACCTCTGTCAGATTTGTCCTGGGATGCAAATTAATTTGCCTGCCTTCCAGATTTCTTGCAACTACTGCTCTCATTTCATCATCAAAACCTCTACATTAAACGATTGCAAAGGAAGCAGTCTCAAGAACACAAATGCATTAATCAACAAAAATAAAAATTGGTATTGACCAAGAAAGTCCTGGCTATAGCAGTTTTCAAAAGTAGTAAAATGGATTATCATGATATTAATTGGGAAGCAAAGTTATCTATATCATAGCAAACTGATCTGTAACTTACATTCTATTATACTTGCAAGCTAAACAACAGATGGGCTACCTTTTTCTTAACAATTAATAGACATAGACGTGAGTATTCTACTCAATAACATATATCCTACAGGTCATACTCTTGAGGCAGTCCACCATCAGTAGCATAATTACTAGAGCAAAATTCACCCCATTCTTTACCATGTCAAATTGTCAATAAAATCTTGCCATGGTAACTATCGGGTGTTTACAACAATTTTTGGTCTGAACAAAATCCAAAATACTAGGGGAGTTGCCATTTGCACAAGCAATTCTTCCAAGTACAACCACCAAATTTAAAACTTTTTTGTTACAATTTTACCCTTGAGCACAATTACTCTTAAGGACAAAACTACAAAATATATATATATATATGTGCACCCACTTGCCACCACCTCCCCACCTCCACCATCCCCACCAGTCACCACCTCCCCACCACCCCTCTCGATTCCCATCAGTAACGGAACTTATCCCAAAAGTACACTCCAGTTTCCAAATACACGATTTTCAAGCATAGCACATTGACACCCATTGACTAATTTAATATTCCTTTTTCCCCTCAGTTGTGGACCTTGTGGGCCTGTGGGCTTCTATCTCGTCTTTAATTCACAACTTGTACCATATGCATGGATATGTTGGAAAATTCATTACTCTTAGGCTTTTCACAGTGGACAATAATTTTAGAACACTTAAATGGAATACCAAGGTAAAAATTGAATTGGAATTAGAACTCATGTATACCTTAATGGAAGTTCCCTTCTGAAACATAGATCCACTGTAGAACCCATACCCTTCCATATTGAAGCAAATTCAACAGCAATGTACCTAAAAACAAGAGAAAAATATGTCATTTAAAATTCATAAGCATGCCAAGAAAAATCAACACAGCAAACAGATAATATAGACAAACCCTCCCCCAAGTATGACAGCACGCTTAGGTAACTCTTCCAAGCTCAATGCTTCATCAGAGGTTATAGCTAACTCCTATAATGCCAATCAAAAAATAACAAAACAAAATAAGTAGTTAGATAAAGATCGGAGAAAAAATATACAAGATAATTATATAACACCATGGAAGTTATAGTGGATGGTTTCACTCTTTTCAAGTAATTTATCAGTTAAAAATGTTTGTAGTGGTGTTCCCGGCAAAAAGTGCACATTAAAGAACAGCCAAGCTAGAAAGATGAACCACCTATATCCAGAATACGATTATCATGTTATGTCACTTTCCATTCATGTCATAATAAAAATCAGAAGGTTTACCTGCCCTGGAATAGCTGGTCGATGAGCCCTGCTGCCAGTTGCAATGAGTATGTGTTTAGCTGAATAGCATATTTTAGTACCATCTAGTTGCGTCACCTCAACTTCATTTGGACCAACTATCTTTCCCTCTCCTTCATATAATTTAACCCCAGCATTTGAAAGTAACCGCTTGTAGATTCCATTTAATCTGATTATTTCTTCTGTCTGCAATATTCACAAAAATAAAAATGAAGAAAACAAAATATTATCTTACTAACCCTCAACAAATAAAGTAACCAATAATGTGTTCAAACAAAGAAACCCTTCATGTGAAATTAAAACCTAAAATGCTAATGAAATGGAGAAAACAAAAAATTATCTTACTAACCCTCAACAAATAAAGTAACCAATAATGTGTTCAAACAAAGAAAACCTTCATGTGAAATTACAAGCTAATGTCAAAATTTCAACTATTAAGCAATCAAGCTAAAAAGGCCGGGTAGACAATGTTAGTCCAGTTTTCTCCTCAGTTTTTGTGGCCAGATAACAATTAGGCTTAAAGCTACATTTGATGAGGGGCCTTGTCTAGCATTGATTTCTCCATCTTGTTTCTCAAAGCAAGTTTACGGATAAGTTCTGCAGGATTTAATACTTTTCATCACAAGAATAACCTATAAATCACTGATTACTAGTCCGACAAACCACTATTTGCTAACAGTACCTACATGTTTACAGTATAAGAATCAGATCGAGTTTTCTGTCGTGGTATCTATTATATTTCCTCTTAGTATTGTGAAAGATTGATGAATACAGAATGCTGCTAGTGCTACCAAGCAAACTACACGAAATATGAATGAAAATCTACAATATGCATGACTGCAAATGCCGCAAAACACAAAATTTAACACTGACCTTCTTACGCAAAAGCTTTTTCCAATTGAAATCAACTTTCTCATTCAATTCCCACCCATAATTTCTGGCATCCTACAAAACCAAAACAATAGTTACATCAAACCAATTCACATAAATCTATAATTTAAAACATTCTTGTACAAAAATAGCATTATTCTGTGAACCAAAACAACAGTTTTTTTTTTTATCAGCAACAAACAAAGATATATTAAGACTCGAGGCCAAGAAAAAAGAGGATAAGGCATCCTCTACAAGAAAGATGGAAAAAAAAACCGAAAAGAGACAAAAGAAAATACAAAAAGACAAACAACTACTACTGCACAGTACAAACTGACAACCAATCGGTAGCAATTAAAAAAAGCGGAATCCCTCAGAATACTGAGCTCGCTGAGGCCCAAAAAGACGCTAAGTATCTCACTCTATCCCATAAATAGTCTATATCCCAAGCAACTCCTTCGAAAACACGCGCATTTCCTTCCAACCAAATAACCCAGAAAATTGCAAAGACAACACCACTCCAAAGCACCTTAGCCCTCTTTGACCTTCCAAAAATATGAAAATCAAATAATAGCATTTGAGCACATCCTTTTGGGGCCACCCACATCACACTACCCAATCCAAACACCATATGCCACAACCGCCTAGCCACCGAGCAATGCAAAAAGAGATGATCCAGAGATTCTCCACTTTTACAACACATAATGCACCATTGAGGATTAAGATACCGCAAGGGTCTCCTCTTTTGCAATGAATCATTTGTCAAAGTGCCCCCATGAACCAAGATCCACATGAACACTTTCACCTTAAGAGGAGCACATGCCTTCCAAATCTTTTTATGAAATAGAAATTAAGGTATATGAGAAGAATCAATGATTTTATCAAGAAAGGATTTACAAGTAAAAGAACCCGACAAATGAATATTCCAAACCAACCTATCCTCCAAGATTGGAGACAAAGAAACATTTTCGAGTCTTGACAAAAGAGATACCAATTCCGAAACTTCTCTATCATGAAAATTCCGGCGGAAGTTAAAATTCCAAGAAAAAGGAGCCACCAAAGAACCCGCCACAGACGCAACAAAAACGTAAGGAGACTGAGAAACGCTATACAAGAGTGGATAGGCTTCCACCAAGGATGAAGAACCGACCCAAACATCCTCCCAAAATTTGACCTTATCCCCATTACCCACCCTCACATAAATGAATCTAGACCAAATGGAATAAATCTGAGAAATGGACTTCCAAGGAGCACGCCCGTTGCTTCTCGTGGCCACTTGAGAGTCGCTACCATTAACCTAAGTCCCATATTTACTTTTAATAACCGCATGCCATAATGAATCACACTCAGCGAGGAATCTCCATAACCATTTGCACAGTAGAGCCGTGTTTCTAGCCACTATATTAACAATGGCCAAACCACCCTTCTCCTTAGATAAGGACAACGTTTCCCACTTCACCAAATGATCCTTCCATCTTTCATCCTTCCCTTCCCAAAGAAAATCCCTCATTAACTTTTCTATAAATTTTGCTACCTTGACTGGAATCTTGAACACAGAAATGAAACAAATTGGAATTCCACTTAGCACTGTCTTAACCAAAGTGTACCTATCTCCACGGGATAGTAAAGCCCTACTCCACCCTTCTAACCTCTTTTTTATCTTTTCCACAACCGGATTCCAAAACACCTCACCCCTTGGATTACCTCCCAGCGAGAGCCCCAAATATTTCATTGGAAATGTCTCTATACCACACCCAAGTAACTCAGCCACTCTCTGAATCAAACTTGAATCAGCATTAATACCCGCTATCCTACTCTTTTCTAAATTTACCCTGAAACCAGAAAGCACCCCGAAAAGCCTTACCACCGAATAGAGATTAACCATTTGGCTATCGTCCCCCTCAGAGAAGAAAATAGTGTCGTCTGCAAATTGCAAATGTGTCACACTAACCTTGTCTCTGCCGACCTTTACACCTTCAAATAGACCTACCTCTTTAGCCCTATCCACCATCCTTCCTAACACATCCGCTACCATGATGAAGAGAAAAGGAGATAAAGGATCGCCCTGTCTCAACCCTCGAGATGCCTTAAAAGTCTGCCCAGGTTTACCATTGACTATCATCGACATATTGCAAGACACCAAACATCCCCTGATCCAGGACCTCCATCTCTCTCCATACCCTTTTCTATCCATCACAAAATCCAAAAAATTTCAGTCTATATGATCGTGCGCTTTCTCAAAATTTGCCTTAAACACAAGACTTCTCTTTCCTGACTTCTTACACTCCTCGACCACCTTATTTGCCACCAAAACCACATTTAGAATCTGTCTACCTTTCACAAAAGCCCCCTGAGTCGGAGAAATTGTATCCCCTAAAGAGGCCCTCAACCTTTTTGACAAAACCTTCCCCAAAATCTTGTAGAGTAATGTCACCAAGCTAATTAGTCTAAAATCTCCAATTCTGATGGCTCCATCCCTCTTAGGAATCAAACAGATAAATGTGGCATTTGCACATAAAATAACCACCCTTATCTCGTAAAATTCCATAAAAATTCTCACCAAATCCCCCTTCACCACCTCCCAACAATCTTGAAAAACAGCCATGGAAAACCCATCCAGGCCTAAAGCCTTGTCCCTCTCACACTCAAAACTGCATCCCTAATCTCCAATTCCTCAAAAGGTCTTTCTAACCAAGTCGCACTTTCCTGATCTCTAGGCTTCCACTCAAGTCCCTCTATCCCAGGCCTGACTATCCCATCCTTCGAAAATAATTTTGAATAAAAATCAAAAATTCCTTAGACTATTTGCTCCTCTGAGTCCACCACTACCCCTGGCCTTACTTCCAACCTCTTAATGAACTTTTTCTTCCTTTTTTCATCTGCAATCCTATGAAAGAACTTTGAACTGACATCCCCCTCCTTCAGCCACCTCACCTTTGCTTTTTGTGCCCAAAAAATCTGCTCTCTAAGAGTCAACTCTTCTAACTTCACACCTAGCTCCCTTCTCTCACTCCTCAATTCCTCGACCTCATTCCCCTGCATTTCCAAAGTATCTATCTTCGCAATTCTACTCATAACTTGAAATTTTGATGATTCCAAATTCCCAAACACCTCCCTATTCCAAAGCTTCACGTGCTCTTTAATGACCTTCAGCTTTCTCATGTATCTAAAACCCTCCCACCCATGACATCAAGCACTATTCCACCATTCCGCAAAGTTCTCCTTGAACAAATGATGTTCCAACCACATATTCTCAAACCTAAATGGGGCCGGACCCCACTTAAAAGGACAACTCTCAATCATGATGGGGCAATGATCGAACACCAATCTTGGAAGTGCCTCCTGTCTCACATTGGGGAAAATCCCCTCCCAACCCAAAGAAAATAAAAATCTATCCAGTCTACAACATACCCGACTTTCCCTAAGATTAGACCATATGAATCTTGCATTAAATAAAGAAAGATCCACCAACTCGCATCCTCTAATAAACCCATCAAAATCTCTCATACTCCTATTGATTCTACTCCCATTAAGCTTCTCTGAAACCTTCCTAACCACATTGACGTCCCCCCCTAAACACCAGTTGGGGTAGCATAACCCATATAACCCACCTAACTTAACTGGTTATAAAAATCATTTCAGCCATCCTTAATGGACTAATGGAGGTAGCATGAAAAGATGTTCTTAAAATGAAGATACAATGGATTATAATGAAAATCCACTGCATCCTATCTTGGGCTGCTTGAATATGTACTGGCAATAGATGAATCTCAAAACCCTAATCTTCTCTTCGAGCACCATTTGCATGAAATGTCTATCCTTGGTAATTATTAAACCCATGATAACTACTTTGCAAATAAATAATAAATAAATAACCTCACATGTCCAAAAAAAAATATTGTTCGATGTTACATTTGGGGTTAATACGAAATCTCAACATGATAGAATGCAGTTAATTTACAAGTTAGATTGATTTTGTTAAGTCACTAATGTACTATATATAAGTATTTAGATAATTTCAAGGTGCTACATCAGAAACTGTACATGCATAATTATTTTTACATTATATTCATATATATGACCATATTGACGGGATAGTGGGGAACTTGCAGAAGCTTACGCAAGAGAAGGGTCTTGTTTATTTTTAGTTCCCAACCCTTTCACTTCATCCAAAAAAATTAACTTTGCCATTTCAAACAGGAAACGTGGACCAAAAGGCAAATAATCGCAACTATATTTGCTGAACAATCCACTGATGTATGTCACATCATTCTGATATAAACTATGATCTCACCTCAATTTCTGGCCCAAAAGCTGATCCATAAACCAAAATCTTCTTAGGAACACAACCACGAATGACGCACCTACAACACATGAGAAACATCAAGATTACATGTGATTTCAATTTCAATATTTTACAAACTTGAGAGTGGGATGGATTGAAACTCCTTTTAAAATATAAATAAATAAAATTGAAAAGCAGATTTTGGCTATTTTGTATAGTTGGCTCTCGGGTGAAAATCATTTTTGGGATTTTGTTGAATCTTTTGAGGAGATGTGATGTATGTTTTATTTTTATTTATTTATTTATTTTTCCTTTCCATAAGAGTGGCACCACCTTGGTTCCTTTCAATTTATAAATTTCCTCATAAAAAATAATTGGGTTAATTACATGGACACCTCCTCAACTATCACTGAATGTCACTTTATGCATTTCAAAATAACTTTGTGTTGTTACTAGCCCAAAAAATAACTTAATAAACTTGTATTGTTGATTAAAATAACTGATAATATATTTAATGCTTTAAACAACAACTTTTAAGACAACTAGATCTTAACAGATTAAGTTGGCAACCATAATGCAAATGTTAAGACTGATACACTAAAATACCAAAGGCCACCAGTAAATAGACTAGCCTTGACAAACTTACGTTCCTCCAACTCCTCCAATAACTTCTGAGCTGATTGGATGAAATGGAAGCTCGCAAATCCCAACCTTCCGACAAAATTTTGAAATTTTGTAAGTATTAAATGAAAATTTCTTCCAAATCAATGAATAAAAATATCGGTTAAACACCAACACAATCCAACCAACAAAAGAGTTCGCAATAACGAAGAAATGGTATCATTCATATTAAACTAAAACCACAATCAGCAATATTATATTTCACATTAGGAGAAAACAGTTTAATAGATCGATATCTATTGTTTCTTTCGCACACATACAATTTTCTCTTATTTAAAAGAAGATGAAATAAATCTATGGATCAAGCATTAGCAAATGGAACATCATATGAAGCTAAGTGTACTAGGTTTTTATTTTTCTTTCCTAATACAACCCATTATGCTCTCCATTTTGATTTTCCATGGCTTAGAAAGTATAAAACAAATAATAATACCAAAAGAAGAGATCTGGTCCATTTGAAAAGAGTGATAGTTAAACCAAGGTTTGTCTATTTTGTTCAACACAACAGCTAAACACCACTGCATAGCAAATTGAAAAAAGTTTACCCAGAAAGAAGCTTTAAACATTTTTCCCCCACACTGAATCCTCTTTCAAACTCCATCAAAGATCAATACATATACACTGGGTGCATTAAAATTAGCCTTTTCTTTTGACAAAGATTTTGTAACTCAACGGAGACATCACAACTACACCCAAAAACACAATAAGGGAAGCACAAATCTATTGCATTTATCTTTCTTTTCTTTTCTCATCACTATGATGAAACTCTTCAATGCAGACACAAAAGGATAAATAAACTAGTCTATAGTTACAGTTCAGGGGGAAATAATTCAAATTAATAACATATCAACAGTTGCTGTTCACATAAAACTTCAAATGATACACTAAATTGGATTAGATATGAAGCCATATAGGCCGCCTAATCTTGCTCACAGATTCAAAAGAAAAATTACAAACTTAGGCTGGAAATTGGATTCCAATAGGACCTCTACAATTTCGGCAGTGCTACAAACACAGAAAATTTCTATGAGGTCACTGATGTGAGAAAAAAATGTTTGCATCTATACATGTTTTTTCCCCTACAATTTTTCCAATATATAGATAAGGTACCTTAGCTCCATACAGCTGAGCTGCAAATCTAGATGCACGAACACCACCACTTCCAGCTCCAATCACAAACAAATCAAAGTCATAGTGCGCCTCCTCTTCATTGGGCTTGCTCAGCTCCCCATCAATCAGCATCTTCCTCGCCATGATTAATAAACTAAACCCACAAAAACCACAGAGTATTAGCACAAAACAGATTATTACCCACATAACAAATTTTGGTTTGGCTGGCGAGAAAGCAGAGGAAAATACAAAGAAAAGAAAATTGAGATCTGATGATTTTGAAAAACCCCAACCCATAAAACCCAGAAGAAGTTTTGGATATTCAAACCTCCAATGCTCATTCACCTTAACAACAGAGCAATGTTAATTCATTGTCACTCAGAAAGACAACCCAGTTGTTATTTTCTTTCAATTTTTAATTTCCCACAGATTCTCAGCAACCAAACAAAGAAAAGAATCAAGTAAAATGGAAATGGGTACCAAGTGTTAGTCTGTGTTGATCTCCAAAGAACCTCTTTTTCTTAGTCCTCTCTGTGTTTTGAAAGAGAAAAAGAGTAAGTATAACAGATTGGTTGATGAGAGAAACAGACAGGACAGAATGTGAACAGTGTGGGGCAACTTTATATTAAATAAGATAGTGACAGAGTGATGGTTGTGTAATTGTTTTTACCTTTATTTTTGGGGAGTAATGAATCTTCAGAGGCTGGGTTTTGAAAGGAAGCTAGCTAGGGAAGACGAAGAAGAAGATTGGGTTTTGGAAGGTATGTGACACCACAATCAAGGTTTCAGAGAATCATTCCGTAAATATTTTTGGGCAAACTTTACTTTACCCCGGTCTACCTCCCGTTTGTAAATGATACATAACTGCACGTAATTTATGAAATGAATTGTACCGTTAAAAATTTTATTTAATTTAATAACTAGTGTGAGAAGGGGGATATATCTATTTTTAAAGTTTAAGAGATAAATGGTATATGGAATAAAGTATAAAAATTAAAGTGTATTTTGGTTTTTAAATAAATGACAGAAAATATAAGTGCATTTTAGTTTTTTTTTTATTAAATTGTTAATGGATTTAATGGTGTGTTTCAGTCTATAAACTATAGGAGATTATGCGGTCATTTTCAGATGTTAAGAGATAGGCTACACATAATTCAAATTTCTAAATGTTAGGGGGTAATCCGCACACGATCCAAATCACATGGGATAAAGTGAAGTTTATCTAATATTTTATAGGCAGACTTCACTTTATCTCTTAGTTTAGGTCATATGCAGTTTACTCTCCTAACATTTGGAAATGATCACATAACTTCCTTGTGATTGTGGATTGAAATGCACCATTAAAACCGTTAATAATTTAATAAAAAAAGACTAAAATACTCTTGTATATAAGTAACTTAAATGTATGAACTACGAATATTTTAGTCATTTGTTCAAAAAACAAAGTGCACTTTAACCCCTATACTTTATTTCATATGCGATTTATGTTGGAACAATTCGTCTTGCATTCGTCAGTTGGTGGTCTTCAGGTCTTCAAAACTTGGCAATGAACTTGTCTATGTAGAATAGATATATATAATGTCTCAGGCGCGTTTCTTAGTCACTTTTCTAAAGATAATATTTACACCTACCAAAAAGTGTGCAGGGGGTTATAGCAAATTCGCCTTCAGGATGCAATGAAGCCTGATCTATAGATCAAGTCTACCGGCGTCTGCAATGACGATAGTAGATTAGAATACTTTTGATATAATCTAAAAAACCAAGACACTGATAATCAAATGTGTAGAACTTGATTACCAGTAAGAAAAGCGTAAATTTTCTTAAGAAACTCTTGATTAAAAACTTAAAATCAAGAGAGAGTGAGAGAGAGAATTGCAAGAATGCTTCTAAATTTTTGAATAGAATGAAATGGCTGCCTTGATTGACAGAATATTTAACAGTGTATTTCAATCCAGAAATCACGTGGCCCAAACCATAAGAGAAAAGTAAAATTTGTCCTACTCTTTTATTTTTATTCTCTTTGTTTTTTTCACTTTTGCACTTTTTTTATCTCATATTTAGATTCTTTTATTATAATTTTTTTTATAAATATTTATTTTAAAAAGATGAAATTGTTATAATTTTATAAGTCAAAAATTTAAAAGTATAAGTTAAAATCTAAGAAAAATAAAATAATATTTTAACAATATTTAAAAGGGAGTAACAATGTAATCAATCTGGTCGATTTTAAATAAATATTGAATCAGGATTCACTATAAAAAATTAGGTTTTGAAGACTAAAATTTAGAGACAAAATTATTTTTTAGGGAACAAATATTTTTGTTGCAAAAAATGTCGTTATTATATTTTTAGCAACGAAATTTATACATTAGTGATGAATTATTATCTATTTGGGTCCAAATTTTTTATCTTAAAAAATAAATCATTTTAGAGACTAAATTATTTTATCCCTAAAAGTTTATTTATTAGTGACATTTTTAAAATTTTGTCGCTAAAAGCTTTATTTTTGACTTTTCGGGACGACCTTTTAACGACTATCTTCACGATGATAGAAATTGATCCCTAAATATCATTTGCAACAAAATTTTCACTTTTAGAGACTAAAATATTTGGTCTCTAAACCTCTTATATGTTGTAGTGATTATGTCTTTTGCTTAGAAAAATATACCACTCATTGAAGAAAAAAAATATACTAATTTTTCTTAAAATTTTAAAAGATGCAAAGAAAAATTTACAATTTGAATACAGTTGGATAGTGCTTTCTTGAAATTTAAATTAGCATTGCACTTGCCTCACTTGCCCTCACACGTTAGTTGACTGGTCATGCACATAGGAAAATATGACTTTATTACCCTCTCCCAAGACACAACCTCTAATGTATCAACAACAGAAAAAATGATAACTGTGCTTTTTATTTATTTATTTCATCAAGACAATTATGGAAATTGCTGAAAAGTGAAAAATGAATGTAAATGAAAACAGAAGGATTTCACATGCAATAACAAATTGGGATGTTACAAATGAACAACTGAAATATACAACTTCCAAACCACACCATAACAATCCCTAGAGGACTGTTTGGACCATAGCTCGTTGGTCCCAGCCAATATTTGTCTCTTTGCCTATAATAAAAATAAAAATAAAAATAAAAATAAAAAATGAAGCCAAAATTAATTATGATTTGTATTAGATTAAGTACCTAATTTATTAAAATATTCTTTTTGTACTTATTAACACTCCAATAATTATTATGAAATTTCAATTTAAAACTATCCCATTTAACTATTCATGTAAGCATAATTTTGAATTTGCATTACTTTCAATGAGGATGAGGAATGACTAGTGAGCATGTGCTATGAGTCATCTAGGCAAGCATATTACTTTGAAAGATGGTGTGAAATTGGATTTGAGAGAAAACAAGGAATATTATTTGACCTTTCTTTGAAAGCAAGATTACTCTATTTAGTGACAAGTTTAGTGAAGAGATTGACATAAACAATTGGAAGATTGTAGTATATGATGGAACATTGACAATGTATAGAGGCAAGTGACACTTAACCTATGTCTTTATATGGGTAGATGAGTACACCCTTTCATTTGTCAAAGTGGTGAAAGTTCTTTAGGGATGCTAAGTCACCATTCACCTTTAAGATGATGGGGTCAAATATTGATAAAAACATAATGACTGAACATACTTTTTAACAGTTGAGGGAGAGGAAGAAGAGAAACTTGATGAATGGTTTTAGTGATAGAGGAAGGAGGTTCGATAAAAGCTTTTTAAGTGTTCAGAAAAGAAACACTCTTTATCGGACTTTGCTATTATCATCCACATACTCCAATTCATAGAGATAACACAACTAATGAAATAATTTTTTTTTTTTAAATTTTAATTCATTTTGAGATGACCCCTCAAGTATAAAGTAATGAATGGATTAGTCTATAGTATCTCTTGTATTGGAGACTATTGAATCTCAGGAAGGGGTTAGGATACAAAATAGAAAATTAAGAAGTTCGGACTAATCAGTTAAATTGTAAAATTGATAAAATTTTCAATTATGTCTCGTAATCCTAAGTCGATTCAAATATGAGATAAGATATACAATTTAAAGAAATTACTTAGTTCTAATAGTCCTAGACAGACTAATTAATCTAATCCAGTACCTCTTAACATCACCTTATTATATATATAATGCTTGATTGGAATATTGTTATGGTGGAACAGTGGATTTGAGTTAGTATTCTCTTTTTGCCATTTGAAAAGTTGATGTTTCAGTTGATTGTAACACAACAATCTGTTACAAGGTGTAAAAGCAATTGAATTAGAATTGAATAATTTTGACTTGTATTATTACCATACAGCTTCAAAATTCTTCAAATTATAAAATTTTGAATTAATTTTTTTATTTCCAATTTTGAGGGTTTTTTTTTAAAAGCTAACATGGCGGTAATAAAACAATGCATAAAGATGTAACAAATTAAACTGCGGCATTGTACTACTCTTTGTTATAGTGATAAACAACAAATAAATTCATGACAACATCTCGTGCATAGTGCAGTTTTTTTTTTCCCCAGTACAAGCAAAAGAATGAAAGAATAGTGCAATATTTCATCAAAATGACACAAAAGCCTATCGGTGTCATGAATCTAAATTAGAACCACTAAGTACAGTCTGAACTTTTATTTTCTATTTCTAAAAAGAAAGATATCCTCAGACCTCCCTCAACATTTTCCTTCTTTAAGAGGGTCGAAAAAAAAAAAAAAAAAAAGAAGAGTTCAATGAGAAAAAATTTACAAAAGGATTACAGCCTACATGTGATTGTTGTTAGCATGCACAGTTAAAGACAGAATCGCCCAAGCACTTCGCTTTCTTTGCAATCTTTCGGACACCGGTCTCACTGTGGGAAGATCTTAGACTCTGAGAAGTGAGAGGGATTCTGTCCATTATGTTGATCTTAGGGGCCTCGAGAATAGCCTGGGGCAATGAAAGTGCCCATTGCATCCCCCAAATTGCAAGTGGCCTCATATATATTAGAGATCGGAAATGCCCATCAATAGACCATGCCTCCGGAGTCTGAAATGAGTACCTGAAAGTAGCAGTCAAAAAGCAAAGACATGAACTCCAGAGAGAGAGCACTCATAATCAAACTATGCAACATGTAATTCTTGAGCTCAATAAACAAACGATAATAAATATGTATATGCAACTCAACTCGTTTGCAGCCCTACGGCAAGGCAGAAATGCAAACAAAGTAAATAATATCAGCATATGTTCGTATATATATATAAATGAGACAATTGATCTAAGATCATGAATTGCATAATTTGCAAGAAATATGTAATTTTCTGTGTGCATCTGTCAGCACATTTGCATCAAGGACAACTCAAAATAATTCAAGGAAATGACGTGCATATTGATTAGCATGCTTACCCATATCCTTCCTCTGACCAGCCTGCGATGAATATACCCTCAGCTGTGGTAAACGCCTGTTCCTCCATCCCAGCAAGTATCATGGTGGCTGCCACAGAATATGTGACTCCAGTCCATATTTCACGGGACTGCATGCAAGTTTCATCCACCTTCCCATTGGAATGCATGCCATTTACAGCACCCATCCTTCCTCCTCTTATTTTCATAACATTGAAATCGTAGATTTTATGGAGAGTGCTTTGGATCTTGTAATCATTGAACAGATCAGGCAAGCCCGAGGAAGCTGTATACCACTGCCCTGCTAATTGATCAGCTTGGATGGATGTACTGTTACTGCTTGACCCACTGTCATAGTTAAAATATGAACCATTCCATAGTTTGGCTTCGAATACCGATTTAGCCTTCACAAATTTGCTTTTGCATCGTTCAGCGAAGGCTCTGTCACCGAGTTGAATGGCCATTGCAGCTGCAGCTTGAAGTGCAGCAAGCCACAAACCACCACAGTATGCACTTATACCATGAACTGTCCAGGTATCATATGTTTGATCTGGAAATCCATCGTTCTCAATAAGACAGTCATTGTCCCTATCAAATTGATCCATGTACTCCATCGCGGCACAGACAGAAGGCCACACTTCAGCTCCAAAAGAGAAGTCCCCAGTTGCAGCAAAATCCCTGTACACTTGAAGCACAAACTTTGGGTTCAGATCCTTCCATTTACTCGTATCATGTATATTATATGCATTCATTTCATGCCATGGATCGTGAGTTCCCAAATCATGAGGAATAGCTCCTCTGACCTTGCGAATTCCGCAATTCCCCTCCGCCAGAAACTTCACTTTCCTTCCATCCTCGCATAAAACAGCTTTTGCAAAGTCTCGCTGAATACTGAGTTCGATTTTGGGAAACAGCATAAGAAGGGCATAAGATGCATAGAAGTGCACATCATATGTACACCACATGATATATTCCACACCTTCCAAGTACAAGAACCCACCCACATCATCATCATCACTCTCTGGGTAAGGATATCTAGAATACTTGCTGCCTCTTCTATGAGAAATCACAGGCTCATCTTTACCATATCTCGTAATAGTTGTTTCGTCATTACCATTTAAACTACTTCCTGCAGTGCTATTATGAAGAGCAACTGTAGAATGCTCACAAAGTGCACCTTGTTTACAGTCCACTTTTGCTTCGGTTACTTCAAAATTCATGTCCTCCGTTGCTGTTGATTGATGCTGATTACTTCCTGCATTAGCAGTGAGCAAGGCAGAATCTGCATAAAAAAATCAGAACAATCAAACATGTGGGCATTAGAAGAAGAAAATTGGGCAAACAACAATAACCTATATTATCTATCTGCCTCTTTTTTCAATGAATAACGTAAACTACAAATCACCAGGCAAAAAGATAGAATAACTACTACAGAGCTAGACTTGGCTAAATTGTTCCCCAACACACCCTGAACAACTCACACTTCCATAAAAATTCTGATGGTAATTACAAAGAACTAGGAGAGATAGCGGAAGCGAAATTTTACATGAAACATATGTATGGCAAACTGGGCTTGAAAACAGAAGAATGACAACATTAGAAAATCATTACTATTTATTACTTCTA